GAAACACATCCAGGAGTGCAGGTTATTGTTGCTTTTCCTATAGTATTTGAGGACATAATTATTGTGATTTTTTAGTGTTGGTCGTAGGATTTTTTAAGTATTACAATTAGGAAACGTGACAATGCAAACGTCCATATGGGGCTCTTTTGATGCTGTTTTCTTTGCACATTATTTTCCATATCTGTTTTTCAAGTATTATTGCTAAATAAATTTAATAAGCCTCTGCTTCTAATTCTTAATTTTCATATATTTCAGGATATGGCTTGTGACACATTCTTAAAAATTGTTCAAAAGTGCAAGCGAAAGTTTGTCATTGTACAGGTATTTCACGTTCATTTTGCGCTACCCTTGGCCGACGTGTTTATCCTTGGTAGATAAAGATTTTTTTTAAAGAAAAGATTATTTGGTTTATGCCTTTTTATTTGTTTTTGTAATATGTTTTGCTTCTAATTTTCAGGTTGGAGAAAATGAGCCATTCGTCTCTGAACTTCTTTCTAGTCTTCCGACAACAGTTGTTGATCTTGAGCCTCATCAAATTCATGCTTTTTATGAATCTGTATGTCTAAAGAATATTTCCTGTTTATAGTCTGTTTGAACTATACATTTTAATCACTCAATGCTTGTCCAGGTTGGTAATATGATTCAAGCAGAACCTGATCCACAGAAGAGAGATGAATACCTTCAGAGGTTGATGGAGCTTCCAAACCAGGTTCTTTTTTAACTGAAATTGTCTTGTTTAAAAATTCATTTGTCTCGACCATTATTGGTGATATTTTGTTTGTATGGTTTGTGTGACTACTCGTTATACAGAAATGGGGTGAAATTATTGGTCAGGCACGCCAAAGTGTGGATTTCCTAAAAGATCAAGATGTAATAAGAACGGTGCTCAATATACTACAGGTATAATTAAACTTGTGAATTTCGTTTGAGGCATCCTCCACAGGAATTAGATAAGTGTCAATAGTGCCTTTTCCAATCCATTTGCTTTTCCAATCCATTTGCTTTTCCAATCAAAGCTTATCAAAGTTAATTGAGTGAAGTGAAGATGGAATTCATGTCAGATTCCAATCCATTTGTTTATGGACATTTTTACATGCAGACAAATACAAGCGTTGCCAGTTCTCTTGGAACCTATTTCTTACCTCAGATATCTTTGATTTTTTTGGATATGCTCAACGTGTACAGGTATTGATAATTGTGTTCACGTCCCATGATGTTCTCTTGAAATTGCAAGATAATTAAAATACATTTGACGACGTCTGTCTTCCTTATCATAAGTGGTTTTGGTACATGCTTACAGAATGTATAGCGAGCTTATATCAAGTAGCATTGCTGAAGGAGGGCCATACGCATCTAAAACATCCTATGTTAAACTTCTACGGTAAAATTTTATGATGGTGATTCTTCTTAAATTCTGCTTTGGTAATTTGCTACCTAAATCTTGTCATGAAAGAAAGAACTGATGAAACAGATCAGTGAAGAGGGAAACTCTAAAGCTTATTGAAACATTCTTGGACAAGGCTGAAGATCAACCACAAATTGGCAAGCAGTTTGTGCCCCCAATGATGGAACCCATTCTTCTTGATTATGCTAGGAATCTCCCAGATGCTCGTGAATCAGAAGTCTTATCTCTTTTTGCTACAATTATAAATAAGTATGTTGGTCTTCTGCTTCATTATTTATTAATATTTACTACTTTAATTAGAGTATGCTTTTGATTTTAGTGCTCTGCTTTTATTAAAATATAATTGCACCAATTTGCAATTTTTATAACTCGTTGCCACTTTTTTCATAGGTATAAGAATACAATGATTGAGGATGTGCCTCGTATATTTGAAGCAGTCTTCCAATGCACGTTGGAGGTGAGGATTTGTATAAGAGATTGTTGCATGATTGAGAGTCTTACAGAATTCTTTACTTTTGGTTCAGTCCAATGTGTTGGTCCTTATTTTTTGGTGGATTATTTTATGCTTAAAATTGTGCTTTGCGAGTTTTTTTTTAATTTTTGATGTGCTTCATTATTCATTTCATGAGAGTGCTCTGATTGTGTGCCTTCACAGATGATTACTAAAAATTTTGAAGATTATCCTGAGCATCGCCTCAAGTTCTTTTCACTTCTACGTGCTATTGCTACGTATTGTTTTCCTGCCCTGATTCGGCTGTCAAGTCAGGTTTTACACAAACATCCCTTTTATTGAGTCTGTAAAACTTCCTTACTTGTTGCATTTGCTTACTCTTCTCGTTGAATGCAATTCACTATTATTTTTATCTGGGACGTGGGGTCTTCTCATCAGCAATTAAAGCTTGTTATGGATTCAATTATATGGGCATTTCGGCATACAGAGAGGAATATTGCTGAAACTGGGCTCAATCTACTACTAGAGATGCTAAAAAATTTTCAGGTGGGATGTTTTGATGCATTCAGTTTTTACATGTCCTGATAAATGTTGTCTGATATTCTAAATATTATATGTTTTTGTTGTGCAGGCTTCTGAGTTCTGCAATCAATTTTATCGAACATATTTCTTGACCATAGAGCAAGAAATATTTGCAGTCTTGACGGACACGTTTCATAAGCCAGGATTTAAGTTACATGTCTTGGTCCTGCAACACTTGTCTTGCTTGGTAATTTTTTGTGTTTATGCCACAACTTATATGATAAAATCATTCTCTTAATAATGCCTTTTTAACTAAAATATCTAGACTGTATGTTTATTTGATTACTTTAATGTTTTATTCATTAATTTTGGATTAAATATATGTTCATGGTTGTTTTTGTGGAAAAAATATGATGTATCATTTTTATATTTCAGGCGGAGTCTGGTGTATTAACAGAACCTTTGTGGGATGTTGCAACTGTTACTTATCCGTACCAAAATAATGTGGCCTTTGTTCGGGAGTACACTATCAAGCTGCTGAGTTCTTCATTCCCCAACATGACCGCAGCAGAAGTATGAGATTTTGCCCGGTTCATTTTGGTCCTTATCTTGTCTTCATTGTTTTGCGCATTCTATTAATATCAACTTTAATGGGAGTTTTCAGGTTACTCAATTTGTGAATGGACTGTTTGACTCGAGAAATGACCTCTCTGTGTTTAAGGATCACATTCGAGACTTTCTAGTGCAGTCCAAAGAATTTTCAGCACAGGTTAGCCTGCCTTTAATGTTGTATCCTGTCCCTTTAAAAAAGAGGAAGATATTGTCTCTTTTTTTGCCTGGTTTATTATTGGTGTAAATGAATTGCTATCATTCATGATGAGTATTCTCTCTTACCAAAAAAAAAAAAAAGTGCTCTCAACCCAAGTGTCCTACAGTACTTGTCAACTTTGCTTATATTGTGAGAGAGGAAGAACTATGTACCTATAAAACTATATTCAATAGTAAAGGCAGTTGTTAGAGTTAACACATGAACTGGAAGCAATAATACTATCTAGTTAACTCAGGCCGGAATCAAAGGAGTTCATAGAAATATTTGATGGTCGCAGTTCATGCTTTTGGTCATAAAGTAGTAGCATAGGTGGTAGACAGGCCTCTGTGATGTCCTATCTGTGATGTCCCCTTTTGCCTATTTGGGAATGATGCATGCTGAATTAGGTACCGATTCTGTTTGGCAGGATAATAAAGATCTTTATGCTGAAGAGGCAGCTGCTCAGAGGGAAAGAGATCGGCAACGGATGCTTTCTATTCCAGGGCTTATTGCTCCAAATGAGATTCAAGACGAGATGGTCGACTCGTAAATGTGTCTAGTTTTGTGCAGAAGCAAAAGCTCATGGACTTTGACGAGGTTGAAGTGGGCATTTGATTTGCAGTCCCCCAAATCTTCTGTGCATGTGAGCTTATACGGATATTTTTTTGCTAATTAGTTTTTCCAGTCGTCTGCAGAATTTTTTCGTCCTCCACAGATGGAAATGATTTTCTTGAAAAAGATGCTCATGGCACGGTGGCAGTTTGAGTGCTGATGATGAGAGTAATTCCTATAAAAGATTGAATGTAGAGTAAGTATTTAGTATTTAGTTGGCTGATTTTAGGGTTATAACACATCATAGGAGGTGGCGTGATTTAGTCGCAGGATTCCCAAGCCCGATTGATATTGTATTGCAATGTTAGATTGCAACGTTTTGAGGGACGACGACCCATTTTCCATCTAATGATGATTCATCCTATAGGTGTAACGTATACGATTAGGCCTCGGCGCGGGTTGTGCAGAAATTATTCCCCTTTTGCCTTTTGTTCGTTTTGGTTGAGGATAACTTTTGCTTTACAACGTTGTTTAGAGAAAGGCTGTTCTATTTTTCTTGGATACAGATTTCTCTCTATTGGGTTGACATCTTTCTTTGTATTCAACTATGGATACCCCTCTTTTATAGGTATAATATTTGTTTCAATGCCCTTATCTTCTGCTTCTCTGGTCTCTTGACTCTGCTTTATTTTTATTATTTATTATCATAGAAATTTCACTTCAATTGGCTCTCTTCAACTTAATTTATGAACTCAAAATTTATATTGTCATATTTTTACGTTTAATTTTTAAATTTATTTGACAATTTTTTACTTCATATCATAGTTTATTTTTCTGGAAGTAAAGTTTAATAAATAGAAAATGTAATAGATTTTAATAAATATGTTTTATCTTAGATTTTATTTTTCAATTATCATTTTTTTTTCAGATTGTTAACCATAGCTTTAAAAGATAGTTTTTTTTTCATGCTTTTACATTTAATTTTAAAATTTATCAAACAATTATTTAGTTCTAATAATTATTTAAACTGAGTTTAATAATTAGAAATTTTAATAGATGTTAGATAAGTAGCTAATTGTACAAGCACAATCTCAATCAGCTCTATGTATTGTTCTGATTTAAGGATGATTTCCTCATTAATTAAATACATAGTACAGGTTAATCATGCCACGTGTCATAAGGTGAGTGGTGAAACCAACATAAATCTTTGAACCTGGCCGCCGTCATTCTTACATTCACCATGTCTTTAACCGTTGCCTTTTCTTCCCACATTAATTTTTCCCGGGAAAATATCAGCGAATAATCGGAGTATTTACAACCATGGATTCCCTGTAACTTTCCCAACCACTCACTCTCCCACTCCGATCGTGAAAACGCGGTTCATCGATTTCTCCTCTTCTCCACAACAAAATCACACATTCGATTTAACCCATTTCCCCCTTGATTCATTTTTGGTTCTGGATCACAGGTTTCTTAGTTTTTGGATTCTCTTTGAAAGGAGAATCATCTGCTAGAATGCGCTCATGTCACCTTCCGAGCGCAAGCACAGCCACTTTTTCCACTACTGCGATGTTCCCTCAAAAGTTCTACTTCTGTTTTTCGCCGATTTTCCGGCCGAGGGTACTCGGCCGCTCCGTGAAATTCCGACGCCGTTTTGACCGAATTCGTCCTTTGCCTGTTGTTACTGCATCAATCAACTCCGTCATCGCCTCTGGAAATGTTATTGCAGCTGCTGCAGCCGTGGCCTCCGGCTCTGGATCTGTTCATGGTGCTGTCACTTCTGCAATCACGCATGTTGCTGTTACGGCCGTCGCTATTGCCTCCGGAGCTTGTCTCTCTACCAAAGTCGATTTCCTTTGGCCCAAAGTGGAGGAGAAACCAGGTCCCTTTTCCTCATCCAATACTATCTTTTTACTATCGTTGTTGTTGATATTCATTTTAGAAATTGGGACAAGTTGTTAGAACTTATGTCGGTACTGATTAATGTAGGACTTTGTCCACATCTCGACTAGAAAATCAAACCTCCCACTATCTGGTATCTTTGGTTTTATATTCAGGATGCTCTTGAATTCTTCTCCAAAGTGATTCCCCTTGCTTCCTCTTGTTTTACTGCAACTAATCTTTGTTGTGTTAAGTTCTTGCATTTTCTTATTTAATATACACTACTCAATTCTTAGAGAGTTCAAAACTTACTGTGAAGATGTTAACCATGATGGAAGCAAGTTTGAATTGGTCCTGACCTCTTAGTAACATGCATATGGTTAATACGCTTGAAAAGTTACTAAACTTTTAATTGTTTTTCATGAACTAATTTTCATTTTTCCTCCTTGTGCTGAAGTTGTTTCTTGCCATAAATTATATGCCCGTACAGGTTCTCTTGTATTGGATGGAGTTGACGTAACTGGACTTGTTATATTTGAAGATGCCAAGGTTTTTCACTTTACTCAAAGCTAGTTTGTGTTTTCTCATGTTCTGCTCTCAAGTTTTCCATCTATGAAGGCAGGTGCAAAAGGCTATTGAATTTGCAAAAAAGGCTCATCATGGGCAGTTACGGAAAACTGGAGACCCTTATTTAACTCATTGCATTCACACTGGAAGAATCTTAGCCGCTTTAGTTCCACCTAGTGGCAACAGGGTGCGTAAAACATAACATTATTTATTATGGTTCTTTTCCGTGGTTCGATTGTCTAAATTGTAATTAGTTATTTTTTGAGAGAGAGAATACCAGAAGCCATATCTTTCTACGTATAACAAGTTGCTGAAGTTTCTGTGAGGCATTCCTTATAAGTGTTATTTTCTTTTAAGAAATGAAACATTTCATTTTTAGGTGCTACCGAACAAATACTACACACCCCCAAAATTCTTTACGACATTTCCTATGAAAAAGGGGCATCAGAGAAATGGCTGATCTTCATTTTCATTATCTTCTTTGAAATAAAAAGATATCAGAATTTAATCTTATCATGTGTATTGATCCCCTGAAGGAATGGTTACCGTAGAATTTTCTTAAACTTTGTAGGAATAGTAGGTTCTACAAACAATTTTTTTTTTTTTTTTTTTTTTTACTTCCTCGGGATAGTGGCAGAAACACATTTTTTCATTTTCATTTTCATTTTCATTTATTCTTGAATATGTTACCGTTCTTATGGATTTTTTGGGTGGATTGCTTTGTTGGACCCTTGAAATAAGCTGATAGTGTGCAGCAGGCAATCTCATAGGAATGCAATTAGGATATAAGTGAATATTATGAGGTATTAAGGATACGTTAGTATTTTTAAGGGCTTGTTAGTGGAGATTGGGTATAAATAGAGGAAGGAGGAATGAAAGCAAACAATAATTTAGTCGGATTAGGGCTTTGAGTTAGTATACTCAAGAGAGGAGAGGTTCCAAGTACCTCGAGTACTTGGGGAAGTTCGGTTCTATCACAATCTTTTATTCCGTCTCACTCTCACATTGCACACGTTTTTTGTGCTTGCTCTTTCTTATCATGTAATATTCTTGTGCTGCTGACAGTAAATGGACAACTTTTCGTCTCATGGTCTTATTAATTTAAAGTAGTTCACACTAACAGGCAGTTGACACAGTTGTGGCTGGGATTCTCCATGACATAGTTGATGATACATGTCAAAATTTGCACAGCATAGAAGAAGAATTTGGTGATGAAGTAACCAAGTTGGTGGCTGGTGTCTCCAGGTTGAGCTACATAAACCAGGTATTATGAACAGAAATTGAGGTTAAAACACATTATTAAATTTAAGTTACATTTTTCATTAATGAGAGCATAGCGTTTTTCTACTTTCATTTTTTAATTTTTCTAATTTTTCAGGAACAAATGCACGAATATTGTTACAATCTCGAATAAAAGCTCTATTTTTGAGAACTTATCATCTTATCATTCATCATACTATTGTTCATATGTATAAAAAAAAAATTACCTTTTTCCATGTGCACTTAATAAAAACAACTCCTATTTCTTCACCTTGCGCTTTAAGCCCCAGAGGCCTATTGCACTTTAGTGCACCTTGAGCTTTAAACAACACTATGTGACCGTATTATATACTTTCTGCAGTTGTTGCGTAGACATCGTCGAGTAAATGTGAACCAGGGTTCCCTAGATCATGAAGAGGTATTGACTGTTAAATTAACCAAATAAGATCTGGAACGGTATGAATGAAAATTTCCTCAAAGATAGATAAAGTATAATTTTTACAGTTCAGATTTTTTCTTGTGCATTAAATTACATTGTGTAAGCTTCTTTGGATGCTTTTTATATGTCCCCACTAAATTATATGTAATGCAGATAATATTATATGGAAATATGTTTTCCTATTGTTTGTAGTGCTTAGAACTTAGTTAAACTTGTATCTCTTTTAGGATATGTCTTTCCATATATCAGAGATTTTAACAAGGCATGCATTTGTCATCAGTTAGCCATGTACTTTTCTAAGTGCATTTTATCGCATTATGTAAAATTCGGTTGTACCCTAAGATATTTATTCTGAACCTATTGAGCGATGAAAAAGTTTAGGGAAAATTAGTTAGTTAACATACTTATGTTTATTTTTTCCACAACTGCACACTATTACTACCTTGAAAAAGAATGTGCGGTCAATAAGTAAATTTCCATTTGACATCAATATGTATGGATGGGTTCTATATTCGTCCATTACAATGACCTGATTATATCGTTATAATATGATCAAACTTCTTTAGATATTCATTCTACCCACCTATCTATGACTTCTGGGTCAATCTTTCTCATGCTTTAACTATTCATTTTAGGCAAATAAATTGCGAATTATGCTCTTAGGCATGGTTGATGATCCACGTGTTGTGCTCATCAAGCTTGCAGATCGTCTTCACAACATGAGAACCATGTACTAACTCTTCACTTAGATCTGATGATCCGTTTATGTACAATGGGTGGGATTTAGTTTCCTCGCTTATTTTGTTCACTTTCCCTTTAAATTCATGAAGCTAAATTTTTATCTTCTTCAAAATTATCAACTGTGTCTTTTGGTTTTCTAGAGAAAATGAGTTTTTAAATAGATAAACATTTAACAGTAACATTTCTTAAGATGATATGAAATTACAAAAGAAGGGGGAGAATCTAGGCTGCAAACAAAGAAAGATCAGAAAAAGATTTTCTAATTTTCATCAAGATCATTAGAGCTATTGTAACCTTTTGAGATAGTAATTTTCCATTATCATTTTTTGACAGTTATGCTCTGCCACTGCCTAAGGCTCAAGCTGTTGCACAGGAGACCTTGGTTATTTGGTGCTCACTCGCTTCTAGATTGGGTTTATGGGCACTGAAAGCCGAACTGGAAGATTTGTGTTTTGCAGTTCTTCAGGTTTATCTTAGTCTTTTTGGGTCACAACTTATTTTCACACATATTTATGACTCCCTAGAAAGCTCATTAGAAAAGGAATATTATGACGGAAAATAATTGATTTAATTATTTGTACATCTGAATGTAGTATGAGAGGACTTGCTTATATTGATCATTTAAGTACGCATTTGATTTTTCATTTCTTCTACTGCTGTCTAATTTTACCATACTGTTTTAGACTTGGAGCTCCTGGTGTTTACTATCTGTAAATTGACTCATTTCTCATTGGTCATTTTTCAGCCCCAAATGTTCCTCAAGTTGCGTTCGGAATTAGCTTCCATGTGGATGCCTAGCAGCAGAGCTGGAAGTTTACGGAAAATATCTGCCAGAGCTGACTTGCCACTGTTGGATAAAGACAGTTCAACTTGTTACCACAATATGCCAGTAACTACGACTGATGAGGCCACAAACATGAAGGCAAGTACCTTGAATGGAGGATAAAATTTTCTTCTTGTTTTATGAACATTTTGTTAGAATGTCTCATACAAAAAATTAAAGCTAAAAATGGTCATTTCCTTTTACAAAGGCACTTTTTTTCAGTTTATTTATTTCACTACCTTCTTGTTTGCTCACTTTGTTGTACATGACTTCAACATGGTTTCATGAAGTAATGAAAATAAATTTAATTTTTCACTTGTTTCTTTAATTGTTATCCACAATATTCAATTAAATGTTGAAAATTCTATGAGAAATTATGTTTTCTGGGGAATCTTATGCTTATGACCTAACAAGCTTAAATTTTAGAAATTGAGCATTTGGACGGTATTTGAATGGCCTATCACTGTTCCCTCAGTCTGGCTGGCTGTGGTGTATCTCATGTATCCAAGGGGGATGGGGGGTTGGGGGGGATGGGAGCTCAAACTCCTTTATATTGTTTGTTTTGGGTTTGTTTCCGTGGCAGTCCTGTGTTGGTTGGGTTCGACCTTTTTATATGGTCTTCCTTTGTACTTTCATTTATTTTATTGAAATCTATGTATGTGTTTGAAGGAGAAAATTTGTAACATCTGCTTAAAATGTAATGTTCAGATTTTATCGTCTCTTTGCCCAAGTGGTGGGGCCTGGGTCATATATTTAGTAGATCTTGAAGAAATATAGATTAATGAAACTTTCATCCTTGCATTCTCTACTTTCAGGAACTTTTGGAAGCTGTAGTACCATTTGACATCTTGGCAGACAGAAGAAAACGGACAAATTATCTAAATAATCTCCAAAGAAGTATAGATACTTGTATACAGCCAAAAGTCGTGCAAGATGCTAGGAATGCTTTAGCATCTCTGTTGGCTTGTGAAGAAGCATTAGAGCAAGAACTGATTATATCGGCCTCGTATGTCTGCATCTTTCTCTTTCTGATCTCTATTTTATTTGTGTGTATAGTGCCTGCTCATGTGTGCATTATGCTTCCCCGCCTATGCTTGCAGTTATGTTCCAGGGATGGAAGTAACTTTGTCCAGCAGACTAAAGAGTTTATATAGTATATACAGCAAGGTAAAAATGGAATCGTCTGAAGTTTAGCATTATGCTGATATGACTAAATCGTAATCGATTATTGTCCCATTGTGCGCAATTTTAGGATGGGTGCTGTTATTGCACCTGAAAATTCTCCCTGGAATAACGAACAGGGCAAGTTATTCTTGCAGGATGTCTTCTATCCTCAATTATTCATCCCAGAGATTTTGCATTAAATTTTCACCAAATGTTAGATATGAGGCCAGTTTAGCTCAGACAACTTATTGGATGTTGAAAAGTTGTCTTAAATTTTCGTAGGTTGTTAAGTAACGGGTCGTTGAGTTGAAGGGATTAAAATTGCAGTTTTGGTTGGCTCCTCTCTCTGGTTCTCTTTACATCTCTTCTCTGCGTCCTACGAACTGATTTCGAGTTGGAGCATGATCACCGACTTAGTTTCTCATTTTCCGTCTGATGTGTGACTCAGAACGGGTTTGGTATATGTGCTCTGGGTACATGTTGAACGTTTCATGACTTTGTCCTGGACTCTATAGACAATGATATTTTTCTGTCATCGAGCACTGGTCTGGCATCTTAGTCGCTAACTAGCAATCCAAACAGTATTAATAAATCAAACATAATATACTCTTTTCATGCCAGTGCTAGTAGTTATGCGTAGTTATAACTTTCGACCATTGAATCCTTTTTGTGTCTCCACTCTTCAGATGAAACGAAAAGATATCAGTATCGATAAGGTATATGATGCCCGAGCATTAAGGGTAGTTGTTGGGGACAAGAATGGAACTCTACATGGACCTGCTGTTCAGTGTTGTTACAGCCTTTTCAATACTGTACACAAGTAAATTGAAACTAAACTTATCACTTCTTATTTACCACGTGAAGTTTCCTCTATCCTTTAAGCTCTATATTGTGTGGATGAACGACTTTACCATGAGAAAAATTCGTGTTGGCAGCTCCTCTTGAACTGAAATGTTAGCTATTATTTTCTAACAGAGTTTTTACTTTGTGATTTTGAGAAATATATTTATCTTATTTGTTAAACTTGTTTATACATCAAGCAAACACTTGCAGAAGATGCGAACTTTATTCAATTTCGTTGAATAACATACTCTGCAATTTCTTCATGGCACTGATTTTGATTTGTTAATTCCTCATTGTATTATTTAATCTCCAATGTGCAGGTTATGGTCCCCCATTGATGGTGAATTTGATGATTACATTGTTAACCCAAAGCCTAGTGGTTACCAGGTTAAATATATTTGTTTTTTTGTTCTTTTTAACAAGAAATAGCTTCTCATTGATATAATAAAAATGATTAGAAGTTCAAGGGATACAAACTCACAAAGAGAGTGAAAATGAAAAATCAAAAACAGCAAAGACAACCATACAGAGAACAGCCGTGAACAGACCTTTTCATAGACCTAGCAAAACACACTCCAATAAAAAATGACTCTGTTATTGACTTTTGCTACCATTTTGAGAAGCTTGAGAATACTAGGGAGAGCCTTCTAAATCTATTGCTATAGCTTTTTCTTTGGACTTAAAAAGGTGGAATAAGCATCATTGACCTCTTACTTGTAATGGAGTAAAATCTTTAACTTCTTTGGAAGATATTCTACTCTCCAAAAAAAAAGAAAAAACCATTTCATGACGAATTACAACTCCTATCATATGCAATCCAAGCTGATAGTTTATGCCATTTTGTTGTTAATGAAGTCATCTTCCTTATGATTAGTGCTTGATTACCAAACAAAAGCCTGTATCTCACCTTAGCAATTTCAATATGTTTTAGTGTTTAAAGTAGATTCAACAAATTTCACTATTAAACAAAGTTCTTTTGGAATATGCATTTTGAAAAAGCATTGAAGAAGGAGCAGGTCCCAATTTTCTTAGATATTATGGAAGAGGTCAAACTTTCGTGATTAACTCAATTGGACATAAAAGATTCTTGAATTTACAAAAAGTATAAAGACCAATATCTTGAAAGTCCTTATTTCATTACCTCGTGGCCACCCTTTAGCAGTTACCAGGCCAATATTTCGAATCATTTGGACGAGGAAGAATCCCAAAAAGGATAAAGGTCTTTTTTAGACATTATACTTTTTTTTTTTTTTGTTTAATGAAAAAACTATAATAATATATAATAAGAAATTAATTTCATAGACGAATGTAGTGAGAAAAGGTTCAATCCAAAACTCGAAGGAATTTACAAAAAGTTCTTATGGTGCATAAACAAGAATGAGTTTAATTCCTGTTAGTTTTGCACCCTTTACCATGTACAAAGGAAATGTTACTCAAAATAAATTTAAAAACTACTAAAATTTGGGAATTGAAATATATTAAGCTGCCCCTTTTTTTTCTGATAAGAATCAAATTTCATTGGTGTATGAATTTTACAAATGAAGGGTATAGCCCAAACCAATGGAGTTACAAAAGATTTCTCCAATTGGTCAAAAGAGTAAAGAGTTTATATTAAGTTTGTTCTCTGCATATTGTTAATAATAATTTACAACTGTGTGGGTAGATAATGGTTCACATGAATTGAAATCACATAATTTAAGAATTTTTTTTTTCTCTTACATGTAGTCCTGATTTATTCGTGGCCTCTGCATAACTTCCAATTTATGATTTCAGTCTCTGCACACTGCAGTAATAGGTCCGGATAACTCGCCTTTGGAAGTTCAAATAAGAACGCAGGTATTAAACTTCTTTCGTGATATAGTTTGTGAGTTTCTTATCAGTCTTCATTTTGATCATTTAATTTTTACTTACTTTTTTAGAGGATGCATGAATATGCTGAACATGGGCTTGCTGCACATTGGCTTTACAAAGAAAATGGAAACAAAATCCCGTCATCAAGCAGCAAAAATGAATCTGAAAGAGATGTATCCCGGTGTTTCTCCGATTCAGAGTTCCAGAATTCCATCGAAGATTATTCTCGTAAGTATGGTTTTCTCAAAGCTGGCCATCCGGTTCTTAGAGTGGAAGGAAGCCACTTGCTTGCTGCTGTTATTATTAGGTATGCCCCTTAATCTAGTTTTATGCTACAGCAAACAATTCAATAAGTTGCGTTTACATCTGATAATGTATTTGCAGAGTGGATGAGGACGGAAGGGAACTGCTTGTTGCTGTGAGCTTTGGACTTGGAGCTTCTGAAGCGGTGGCTGACCGAAGATCTACGTTCCAAATAAAGCGTTGGGAGGCTTATGCTAGGTTATACAAAAAGGTTTGGTTCCTTGACTTTCCAGATAATTCAGAACATAATAATGAGGAGAAGTTCGTGAGCCGCAACTAAAGTTTGATCAGGAAAATAATATTTCTGGGAACTTTTATGATGATTTGGTCGGAGGAGTATTAAACGTCTGAATGTAATATGAACTGAAAGCAAGACCGACCAGATTGAAAAACAAGCACACTATAAACTGTTGATCTAATGGTCCACTTTACACTCAACTTAAAGCACACCATAAAATGTTCAATCCTGTATGGAATTTTTTTCTCAAAATTTTTATTCAGATTGAGATTTGTTCCAGTGCTGCTGCTGATTCATTTCCAGGTATCTGATGAATGGTGGTGTGAACCAGGTCATGGGGATTGGTGTACTTGTCTAGAGCGGTATACGCTCTGTCGGGATGGTATTTACCATAAGGTATGCATTAAGATTTATGGGTTTGTACTTCTGATATCAGCTTTCATCTGATTGCTGCTGCTATTCCAGCACAGAAAGTCAAAACTTGGATCATGAGAATCTAATATGTTACTTTACCGGTTTTGTTAGTCACTGCTTTGACTAGTTCATAATGATTGGTTTCTGCCTTCTCATGCAGCAAGATCAATTTGGTCGGCTACTTCCAACCTTCATTCAGATCATTGATTTTACAGAAAGGGAAGAATCCGAATATTGGGCTATAATGTCTGCCATTTCTGAGGGCAAACAGATTGACTCTACTTCGTCTCGGACAAGTTCAGTCTCAGTCGCATCAATTTCCCCGGACGCTAGTATCAATACAAAGGTTTTGTTCTAATCACTAGTCAAAACCATTTTTACTGTCGTATACCTGTTTGGAAAACCTTTTGAAAGATCTGCAAAGTACATCATGTAATTTAATCACAGAATCCTATTTTTGCAACATCCACCCACCTTACAACTGCATGAACAGAAAGAAAAATTAAATTTTCATAAAATTGTGATTACATATGGAAGTATTGAAGGGTAGTGATATAATGTTTAGAACTTAATTCAGGTACATTTTCTAAGGACAATGCTTCAATGGGAGGAGCAACTACTTTGTGAAGCTAGTAATCTCCGACAAGCAAAACACGGAGGAGAATATTATGTTTGTCGAAGCTCCTTCGCGCTCGAGGAAGTGGTAATTGTTTGCTGGCCCCTCGGAGAGATAATGAGGTTAAGATCTGGTAGCACCGCCGCGGACGCCGCTAGAAGGGTTGGATCCGAGGGGAGGTTGGTCTTGATTAATGGTCTGCCAGTCTTACCCAGTACTGAACTGAAAGATGGAGATGTAGTTGAAGTGAGAGTGTAAATAGTTCTTCAATTGTACAGTTAGGCCAATGGGGGGGGAGATCAAGTTGTCTAGTGCACTGCCGGTTGATATGTGAATATTAGTTGTGATTTACAGTAGGAATAGTTCGAACAATTTCATCATTGGTGAACTTCCCCTGATACTCTACCTTTGGCTGCAAATTTATAAAAGCCATGAAAACGAAAGGCTTCAGCTTTGAAAGCAACAGGAGCCGCACTGCATACTCAACGGCCTCTTCAATAAGCAAGCGAGTGGAGCTTGGCTATTGCAAATGGTTCATTGGAACTTCAGGTGCCTAAAAAAGAATGTTAAAAGTTTCAAGTACTTCTACTGTGATCTATTTATCACATAGAATTCGACAACTGTGAATGATATGAATGAATATAAATGATTGTCAAACAGGCGATTTCATATATTTTGTATTTATGCTTCAGGTTTCACCTGCATATCCTGCAAAGTCAAAGTCGTGTGACCATGTATGGAAGGCTGATGACCAGCCAAATATGCAAAAATTGTAATGGTGGTAGTTATAAAATCATTTGAAAACTGAGCTAGATATGTAAACATCACAAGAAATCTAAAGACCATATGAAAAAGTTCATACTATCCTGCATCCGCTAGATAAATCAGAAGGAATCAACAGTTGCAAAGAGGGCAAACCATTTACATTGGCCAATAGGGTGTGATATATCAAAAGTTTAGAAGCCAAGAACATCGGTTGTCACTCATATTTAATCAAGAAAACATCCAAGCAAAAACAGTAGCTCATAATTGTTGGCTAATTCCATGTACCAACGATGTGTGTTGTACCCAACCGCCAAAACTCCCCGAGTGCAAAATAACCATCCCTGCTGAATTACATTGGAATGAAGAAATTGACACATTGAAAAACTATGGATACAATATAGTTCTTCAATATTGGAATGAACGATCTATGTTGTACCAGCCATGGCTCTTCCCCAAAACAGATTAGCAGAAGAACTACAGCAGCCAGCTTAAGGTGCGTCATGAAGGCTAAGAATTATTGTTCACAGCAGAATTTGTTTCAGATGATCCAACTAAGGCTTCCATGTCCATCGTCATACCATCATTCATATCGGCCTCTTCAACCTCTGCCATTACTTCATCCCTGTCTCCAGCTATAGGTTCAATTCCGTTTTCTACTGCATCGGAGAAATGCTTTTGTTCTTCCACAGCTATCTCTGGCTCTTCTAACTCGTTTGGCTTTGGGTCAGAGGACGGTAAACGTGGGTCAGAACTGATGGCAAGCGTGGATGTCACCAAAAGATTCTATAAACGTAAAGTTTGAATAATTAGACATGATATTAAGCATTACCTATCAAGATATGAACGGTTAAGATTGAATAATAATGCAACCAACATTTAAATACAAATTAGAATATCGTAATACTTCCTTTAAAACTTTTCCTTTTACAAGGTAAGAAAAGTGGATGAAATGAAGAAGCACAAATTAGATACATGAGGAAGAAAAAGACCTAAATATAAAAGATAATCAATCCAAACAAAGCTGCCAAAAAAGATTTTCCATAATATTTCCCCTATATAAAATTGGAAATTTAGTTTACATTAATAGTGAACCAATAAATAAGTATCATCTTCGAAGATAAAACACTACATATAAACAGATCAATGAGGGGCCACAAATGAGAATTTTAAATGAACAATGAAAAAAGGAAGAAAAACCAGGCAGCATTCAGATATGCCAAATAAAATAAAAAACGAGTCCATAAAAAATAATAATAATAATAAATAAATAAAAACACAGAATATCAAGAAAACTCCATACCTTTTCCAGAGCAAGCGCAAGCTTTGAGAGATTGGGATAAATGCTACGCGCATCTAATAGGATCTGTTTTGTCATCAATTTTGGAGAACATATTTAAACAATGATGAGAATCATAATTTTGCTAAATAAATTTAATACAAATTCTTGTCATGCTAATATGTCCCAAAAGACCAGCAAAGAAAAAAGAAACTATTAGAAAAGCTCTAACTGTAACTTTTTCTGTCTTTGAAATTATTAGGACCAATAGGGAAGGGGAAAAAAAATCAAGATATGGTCGCTTCAAATTTCGATATTTGGCAAAAGATTTTGTAATGTTTGAATAACAAGAACTAACAAATAAGATGTACAAGAGTGCTAAGGTCGGTAACAATGGCATTCTTTAAAGCAATTATTTGCAGTCTCACTGACAATTAATAAACGAAAAAGTAAAAATGAAAATTTATAGGAAGAAATTGCATTGTAGTGAATATGGATAATCACCTCACAAATCCTCTGAAGGGTAAATGGAGGACCATCAATGAAGCTAAGAAGTGCTGCAAAAAAATAAAAATAAAAAATCTTAATTACGTCTAGTTCATAAAGGAAACTTTCTTTTATTGAGATCAATCCGGAGAGCTTTTTGTAATCTCAAATTACTAGGAGAACTGTTCGACTGGATTTTGTAGTAAAAGGACCGGTAGTATATTTTATACACTAGATAGGTGACTCCAAAAATGCATGACCACTTGAATGATTCGAAGTGTAGTTTACTGCCCGAACTTGGTTTTTCAAATAAATCTACAGTAAACAATAGGAAGTGGAGAAGCTCACAAACCTTCATCCAGCCGCTTTACCAGTTCCGGGAAGGTTTCTCCTAAAGTACTTTGTTGTTCGCCAGACGTTTTAGCTTCAGGATATTCTGACAGCACCTTCAAAGGCAGGCAAGAAAAAAAGGAGTCAAAATTTTCACTAAAAAACTGGATACAACAAATATGATATGCATGCCCCCTATGCAGGAACTTTAAAACATCCACTGCTAAAAAACACAAGAAATGCATTCATGCGTACCTCCCCATACCTGCTTCAGTTGAAAGGAAAGCATGCTCTTCAATTTCTCCCAATCATGCCTGAGAACATAAAGTACGTAAACACATATATATTGTAAGTTCATAACAAAAAGAAAACTTTAAACTGATCCACACAGTTCATATTTTATGTAGCTGATTGTGTGCCATAAGTTCCACGAGTAGACTTACATCCAAAAGAGCATACTAAAGAAACCTCCAATTAAAGTTTCTATAAGGGGACAAATTACACTGTTACAATAGATTTATTCTTCCAATTTTAAGGGTTTTTTCATGAACAACAATTCTCCTATTCTTTAAAAAAATAACCTCCCACAAACCTAGTCTAGCAGAATTCAACCAATGAACCCCTTGGCCTCCCTATTTAAATTGCACTTGGTAAGCATTCAACATATCGAAGTGCTTTAGATTCTGATGTATAAATTCATACACTTCCAAAGTCTGAACTGTATCAGATTTTTGATATAGCGTCTTCATATTCATACCTACGTCAACAGAAATTAGGTAGAGAAGAAAGATACCAGAATTTCCCTGCGGATGCAATCGCTTCTAGTGTCCCGCTTACTTCTACCTCAGTGATTTCTTGCTTCTGCTCCATGGTTCTGGAAATTACAGGTACAAAAATACTTTTACAAAACAATAAATATAACTCACTGGATAAACAAGCCAGAACAGCTGGACATGAAATGCTCATCTTAAAAGTTAAGGATCCTCAAAAAACCGTACTCTATCATCCTCTCTAAAAAAAGTTAATCAAAGAACAAAAAGTCGGAAGGCAGAAAGAGATCACTTTTTATGAGTTGCTAAAGGTATCCTTGGAAAATGAAATGGAATTCTAGCCATTTGAATGTAGCCCATATCTGGTCCCATTACAGCCGTGCAAACATAAGCCAAGTAAAAACATGCAATTTGAAACTTCATTGAAGTTGTACATTCACAAACAGAGTAACAAGTATTCTATGCGATTTGGACGAAGCTACTACAAAAATATAAGAAAACAAGATCCAAACTAGCATCGTGAACCAAAAATAAAATTACAGGAAATATAGGAAATGATGTGCTTATATACCCGCCATTTATGGTATCAGGGAGAACATTATCCTGTTGTTGATGAACGGCATCGGCGGAAGCTGGGAGCTCTGAATCTTCATTTAGTGGCACCTCCATCTAGCGATGTCTACTTTCCACCTACTTCGGATGTAACCAAAAATATAAATATTGCAGTTCCATTCGCATAGTGACTACTAAAAGCATAGTAAAAAAAAAAAGTCATAATTATAGTAAGACTTCCATTCAGAAATATGGAAGTACAGAGAGGATAAATAACTCTGCAAAGGGGGACCCCAACGAAACCGAAAAAAGCTAAATAAAAAGAAGCCCGCCAGAACAAATGAAACACAACTCCAATTAATCCCGAGGGCACAAATTATATACGACAAGAATAAAGGGCAATCAATGAAAGCAAAGAGGGAAACAGAGACATAATTGGTAAGCGTAGAAGCCGTTTTGATAACAAAACTCATTTCTCTTTTAAATTCTTCCAATACCAAACCCACCGAAGAATAAAGAGAGAGCCACAGTCTTTCAAAGCACTGGATGACCACCACCATTTACGTTTCTTTTCCCCCAACTATTTACAAATGCCAAAAGGAGCTTCTTTAGCGAGCTCTTTTCTTGAATGGGTACATATCTTATCTATTCCCTATTTTTGCAATTTTAATCGGTGGAAATCAGTTCTAACATCAAACACAAGTATTATCCTGTCTTTAGAAGTAAGAATTCGCTAAACCAAACATGAAGCATTTATCTTATCTAGAAGAAAATGAAATGGATGACAGACTAATTCTATAGGAACTCAGGCCTCAAAAATTAGCTTATGGAAGAACTCAGACGTCAGATCTCTAAAAGTTAACTTGGACCATAATATCATCACTTCAATACAACTGACTAAACCCAAACACAAATATAGAAACAAAATGGAAATAAAAAAGACGCCAGTTCCTTGAAGCTTACAACTTCACTTCACTAACAAAATAAGCCCAAAGCAAACACTGTTCATAACATCGCCATCATCGTACAGTATACAGCTAAAATAAAGGGGCACCGATTCAGCAGCAAACAAGGAAAAGATAATTCGTTAAAGCAGCATTTCAATTATTTCTAATTCCTTTACATAGTGACCAGACAGAATCAAGCAAGCGACGGAACTTACCTAGTGAGCTTGAAGATGATCTCAACTGAAGCGAGCTACAGCCGCGACGCTCGGACCGACTGGTGAAGCAAATGAGAGTAAGTCTCCGGTGAGGCGATTCAAGGCCCAGGCCCGATGCCGCCAAAAAATTGGGCCAAACTTTTTTCATAGACAGAAATATGCAGAAAAGATTAAATTAATTTAAAATTTAATACATTATATAATTAATTTAAATTAATTAATAGAAAATTAACCCAAAAATCAAAGGTGAGTATAAGTACAAATTTTAAAATATATAATTAAATTATCAATTATTATTTAATTTAATATTTAAATTAAATAATAAATTTTGTACATAATTGAAAATGGCCCAAGTAATTTAAAAATTTACAAGAGATTAACTGAAGGGGTAAACGGTAATTTGATTAAAAGTAAGGGTCTAAAACGACAATAAGATAAAATGGTTTAAAAAATAATAATAATAAAATTCGACGTTGACTCACTTACACGTACATCCAAATCCGGTAATCGTTATTTCATCATTTTCATCGAATTCACGTTCAAGACACGTTGGCCCGACTGATCGACCCGACCCGATCGTATCAGACCCGAATCATCGGTTCCTGAGAGTTTTCTTTCTGATTCTCCATCTAATTACGCATGAGAGTGTCTGAAAAACCAGTTCTAGATAGAGAAAACGGAGTCTTCAAGGATCTGAAACTTTCGATTGAATTGGTAGAAAGAGATACGTAGAGGGGGATTTTTTAATCAGGAACCCTAGAAATGAAAAATCCCCAAATCTGAATGGAAACCCTAATCATAACCCGCATCGATCTCTGCGGATCCTCCATCTCCGCGCAGTGTCGGATCATTCTCCGAACCTCACTCTTCTTCGCCGGAGGTTGACCTGATATTGCGTGTTGTTTTACTGAAGCTAGGGGGTTGGGGGGGTGAGAGAAAGGGGCTTAGATAGGTGAAGAGAGAGAAAAAGTTGGACAGAGAATGGGGAGTCCTGGATCTGGTGCGGTTGATTATGCTGTGGGATCGATCGTGTGGGTCCGAAGGAGGAATGGTTCATGGTGGCCCGGTAAAATCCTGGGTTCCGACGAGCTTTCATCTTCGCACCTTACATCACCTCGATCTGGAACTCCAGTCAAGCTCCTTGGAAGAGAAGATGCCAGTGTGTAAGTTAGGATCCTCCTTACGATGTTTGAATTCTCTACTTGTTGTTTAGTGAGCTTCCTCTGTTTCAATGGTTTATGTCTTCACCTATACTGGCTTACCTCTGTTTCTTTGTTTGAAGTTTGAATACTGAAGAAAGCTGGGAAATATCCAATGCGTCCAATAACAAGTTGAGTTTTAGATGACGGAAATGCATATTTAGGGATAGAACCTCATGCCTTAGTATCCAAGATCTGACTATATCATCTCATTATTTGCTATGGTAAATTGTAAAGTAAGAAGAAAAGCATGCCAGAAAGGTTGTGAATAAGTTGTATGCTTGTCTCAGTCTGCGGAGGCTAGGATGTAGTCAGTCAATTGTGTTAGTGAAAGACATCTATCCTTGTGCGAGAAGATGGTGTAAAAACTTAGTTGCTTGTTCTTAGTAGGAATTAGGATTTAGCATTTCATGAAGTCTTGAAATTCAAGCTTTCATCCCAATGAAGTTCGTTATATTTAATTTCTGTGCCAAGGGAACAGTGTCATCTTAGTTAGGCGGTTTCTTTCCAACCAGATAGCTCAATGAGTGCACACACCAAATAGCCACTGATAGGTTTTCCTCTTTTCAAATAAGTTCATGCCAATCAACATTTGTGCCTAGAAAACAAGTGTTTCATAAGATTGAAGCGAAGAATCCAGTAACAACAATATGGCCCAAGGTTTTTGTTGCTGGCATCCATAGGGTGGACTGGTTGGGTTGGAATGCTAAAAGTGTCCCTCTGGGTAGCTTTCCAGAGCCCCTTGGTCTGCTATAGCCAAGTGCAGAAATTTAGGAAAGACATATTTGGCCTTCAGTTTAGAGGAAAGGAGCCAAGGTCTGGCTCCAAGATTTGGGAAGATCAGTGGCTGCCAAATTCTCCTCTTTTAGTCCTTTGTCTGAGCCTTTATGCTATCGCTTGAACGGTAAATTGGTGGCTGAGGATTTTGGGATTCTAATGACTTAGATTGGTTCTCGATTTAAGAAAGAATCTACGGGATAGAGAGTTTTAAGACTGGCTTTTTTTTATGGATAGATTGTTCTGTTACTACTCCTCACCTACTGTAGCCAAACCTGGTTCTAATCTAGGAAATCCCTTTGCTGTTTCATCCCGTTAAATAGATTTTCGATTACACGTTTGGTAATTTATTGGGTTCAATATCATTTATAAGCAAGAAAGTTGCATACGTAGCTTTTGTGCATCTCTTCTCTTTTTATTGTTTATTTATTATTTTTACTATTTATTTTTTAATCCTAATAACATTATTGTTATCATTAATATATAATCTTCATCTACTTTTCAGGGATTGGTACAATTTAGAGAAGTCCAAGCGTGTAAAGCCATTCCGATGTGGTGAGTTTGATGATTGTATTGAAAGGGCAGAGTCCTCGCAAGGAATGCCAATAAAGAAAAGAGAGAAATATGCACGTAGGGAAGATGCCATCCTTCATGCTCTTGAACTTGAGAAGGAGCTACTGAAGAAGCAAGGAAAACTTAATTTATGTTCTGATCAAATGACTATTGAATCATCCGGTGTCACTGCGAAGAAGGAAATACTTTCTTCAGAACATATAGGAACTGACGATATGAACGATGGGCATTCTGAATCACATCAATTTTCTAAGATAGTAGATGTAAATTATGACAGTAAAATTATGGATCCATGTCATAAAGCAAGTGAAGGAGCTCAACTTAGTGGTGAGGATGACCATTCTGAAGCAAGGCCGAGAATGAGAGGCTTGCAGGACTTTGGGCTCAGAATTACTCCTTCAAAAAGAAAGGTTCCATCTTCTTCTGTTGTCTCAAATGGTTCTGAAATGCTTGCAACTGATACCAATGCTTTGGCTCCTCGTGATGGTGTTTGTAGCATTGGAAATGATAGCGATGCAAACGGTAAGCTAAATTTTAATATATTGAATTGATAGCGATGTCAGAACGGTCTCAAAGTAGACTGCCACAGCTAGATTGACTGCATCATGTGTTTTCTTCTTTAGGGATGCAGCAAATTGATCGTGTAAAGAGGAGCAAGTGTATGTATCTTCCAGCTGATTCTTGTGATTCATTGGAATACATAGAACCTTCTCTAGGTCAGGTTGAGACGTCAACACCCCATTCAGGAACCCGGGTTATGCCTTCTCGGCCTGATTCCCTGGTTGAAGAAAATGCTTCTGGTTCATATGAAAATGATTCTTCTGACTCAGAGACTGATTCTGATTCTTCCAGGTCAGATCAGGACGTGGATAATGACACGGCTGCACTTTCAGGTAATTATGTATATGTATATCATATATGGATGGATGTTTCTCGTGTGGATATCATTCTACTAATTTGTGTGCTACAGATTTCAATGATGTATTTTACTCGAGCTATCCTAATATGAATAGTATCGTCTCATTTTTTATTAAAACAATCTATACCATCTAGAGGCACCTATTAAATATTTTGGTCTTTCACACCTCCAATGACTGAGATACAATATACAAAGTCGCTGTATATTTTGCTTCTAGCATTTGTTTGGTTGAGGTATTGTTCTCGGTAAGGGTAGAAATGGAAAATTTTGAATTACAAATTCGGTGTTTTGGGTGCGAGTTTTTTTCTTTCCCTTCTTTCGTTCCTTTGGTTGCAATCTTAACTTATTACTGCAAATGAAAAACACAAGTTAACCTTCCTTGAGCTGTAGATTGTTAGATCTCTCAACTGTAAGATTAGTTTGCAGATAGTATAGTGTTCCTATTGGTTGGTTAATTTATTCCATATATATTTGGTTTTTTCAGATTCCACTTTGCCTTCAGAAAAGGAGCCGAGTACATTTGAAAGAACGGACGCACAAGAGCATGTAAATATGAGCAGCGAGGAGCCTGATGATTCTGTGCATTCTGGTGACATGTCTCACCTGTATCATCATGAACCCGTGTCTACTAACGAAGCAGTGTCTAAGTGGCAATTGAAGGGGAAAAGGAATGTTCGTAATCTTTCTAAGAGGCCTGTTGGAGTAGATGACGAACCATCAAGCCACCTATGGGTACATGGGAAGCCAAGACTTAATAACAAGAATTATTATTTTGATGATAGCATGGAGGGAGATGCTGATGCATTGGAAGAGGAATATTATTTGGCCTCAAAAAGAGTTTCGAAAGATCAGTATCTTGCCAGAAACTATATGCCTGACTGGGAAGGTCAGCCTGCTTTGAAAGGATATTGGGATGTCAAAAATCCCTTGTATGGTATCCGTCATCATTTTGGTGGGAGGACAAGAACTATACTAATAGATGTTGATCTGAAGGTCCATGCAAGTTACCAGAAAGAGCCTGTTCCTATAGTATCACTCATGAGCAAGTTAAATGGGCAGGCTATAATTGGGCATCCAATTCAAATTGAAACGCTCGAAGACGGGTTTTCTGAAACGCTTCTTTCTGATGGTCTAGGCAACGGACCCAGTGAAAATGATGGAAGCACAGCACTTCAACCAGCTTGGAGGACGGCAAGGAGGACAGCAAACGTTCGCATCCCTCGCCCTCATCTGCCAACAGTACTGGATGGTGAAGAAGCTGGCTATGACTCTCCTTTTGGTGATCAAGAAAGGAAAACAAGGTGCAAAAGAGTGA